AGCTTCTTTTTGTTGGTCCATAACCAATTGCACCCTCCTCTGTTTTTCTACTCTTTCATTCAACAGAATCGCTTCACTATCATAAATTAACACACTCATCCCCCCCCCCAAAAAAAAAAATATATATATATATATATATATATATATATATATATGTATACATTTTTTTTTTCTTTCTCTCTACTGGTTATTGAGAAGCTTAACCCGCATTATCCCTTTTGTGATTTAACTGTTCCTTGTAATCATTTTCTTTCAATGATTCATTGTTGATTGTTTATTAAGGGCCAATTATTTCCACAACTATTTTGGTTCCATTAACATCCTGACAAGTTTTTTCTTCCATACCAAGTCCCCACCCCAAATGCATAAAACAAAAAATGCAAAATCCCAATTTCTCCCACCAGTGAATCAGACATACAAAATTCTCTTATGGGAATGCCTATATCAACTGTCACAATGGTTGAATCAGATTCCCGGTAACAACAATATATGGTGGTGTTAAAAGAAGTCAGCAGAAGATAATCAGTTTGGCACATCAGTAATCACAAATCATAAAATCAAGCATCAAAAACAGATACCTTCCCAACTTAGATTCACAGGAAGCAAGTAAATGAACATGAAGATCCTCCAAAAGTCTGTAATTTTTTCCCATTGTAGAGTTCTTTCCTAGCCACCCACCAAACCTATTAAAGTTGCGTTCTCCCTGCAATGATGATGCCACATTGTTAAATCAAGACAAAAATGTAGATCAAACTAACAATATTACTTCACCAATTATGCATGTCAAAACTTGTTTGCCTCAACTAAAATCGAAAGATCACATATATAACTCTGAAATGCCAAGGAAACTTCCTATCATATTAAAAAGCTTAAAGAAAAGGACAAAAGAACAAGAATTTGTAATGTTTGTTGAACTTTTGTATCCTAAATGCATATGGAACCTACCATCAAAGCACTTCACTGAAGAAACGCGTGTGATAAACTTCAACTTTTTTCTTATAGGAAACAGAAACATTATATTAAAAGAAATTAAAATTAAGTTGGATAAGAAATTCAACCGATGAAAAAAAAATACATGCAAAACAAAAAACTAATCAAACACAAGAAGCTTCCCATCCTGCCGAAATAGAAAATAGAGGAATTCCTTAGAATGCTGTAGAAACCGAGGCCCATAATGATGCTATGAAATGAATATGATCACATAAACCAATCACATCCTCGCTTCTATCTTCGAAAATTCTTGCATTTCTTCCCTTCCAAATAATCCAAAAAACGGCCATGAGAACACAATTCCATTATGTCACCCCTTTTTCACTCATTCCAAAGCCCTTTAAATCTTTCAATAAACAAAGAATTTATGACAAATGAGGCACCCAACTCAAAGCCACCATGATAAACAACTTATGCCATAAAGTCCAAGCAATAGGACTGTGTAAGAATAAGTGATCAATGCTTTTAGAATCACCTTTACACATCACACATCATTGAGGGGAAAGACAAGTCTTATGCCTCCTTTTTTGAAGCATATCATTGGTATTAATCTTTCCATGTCCTACAGTCTATGCAAATACTTGCACTTTAATGAGTACTTTGGCTTTTCAAATCATGATAGCATGCAAGAATAATGGACCTAAAGAATCATCAATAATAGAAGCAAAAAAATACTTGCAAGAGAACACCCCTTTTGACTCACAAACCCATATTCTTTTGCCAATAGACTCCTGACTCAAAAACAAACAATTAAGGACAACAATCAAAGAAATAACCCCCTCCCATATCCATACCGTCAAGGTTTCTACGAAAACCAAAATCCCACGAACATGTATAATGAAAAGACTGAATCATAGAAGCAATGGAAACATCATGATAACAAGATAACTAATAAAGATGTGGAAATGGACAAGACAATAAAGACACCACCACCCATAAATCCTCCCAAAAGCGAATCATTATTTCATTACCCACCGTAGTCTGAACATGTTGAGAAAACCTCGTCAATCCCTAATAAATGAATTTTCATGGGCTTCAAAAGCTAACTCTTTCAACCCTAATCGAATTTCATCCATTGGCCTGTAATTCATATTTGCTCTTGATAACTAAATGGCAAAGAGAATTTTGCTCCAATAGAAATCCCCAAAGCCACTTGCCCACTAAAGTAATAATTCTTGCCCTCAAATTTCCAATTGAAAGACCACTTTTTTCCCGAGTCCTAAAAATAATATCCCAAACTATCAAATGATTTTTCTTTCTTTCACCACTATCTTCCACAGAAAATCTCTCATCATCTTCTCAATTATCCTAACAATCTTACTAGGCATCTTAAATAAAGATAAGTAATAGGTGGGAATGGCTATCAAGAACGGACCGCACCAAAGTTAATCTGCCCCTTCTAGATACGAAAGCTCTGTTCCACCTAACTAATCTTTTTGCCACACCATCGGATCCCAAAAAGATAGTGATAAAGGATTCCCACCCAATAGTAACTTAAATACTTAAGAGGCCATTTTCCCAATGTACACCCCGTCTATTCTGCAACTCTATTGATTTTATCCTGAAAAGAATTAATGCACACTAGTAAACTCTTATCCATATTCACTTTTAAACCTAACACAACGCCAAAAAATTTTAACAATATTTTTAAAATTCACAATTTTATCCTCGTCCCTTATAGAAAAAGATATTATATCATTAACAAACTGCAAATATGACACATAATCCTATCCCCGCCTACTATAAAACCTTCCACCAAATTACAACACTCAACCCTTTTAACTAACCTACTGAAACCATCCACCACTAACTTAAAGAGAAAATGAGATAAGAGATCTCCCAATGCCCTATAGAAGTCGTATATTTACCCCTAGGCTTTCCATTAAGCATAATAAAGAAATTCATATACCACAAACTTCCCGACATCCAACTCCTCTATTTATCACCAAAGCCTTTCACTTTCAACACAAAATCCAAAAATTCTCAATCTACATGATCATAAGTCTTCTCAAAGTCAATCTTAAAAATAAAACCTTCCTTACCATTCACTCTATAATCCTCTACCACCTCATTTACCATAAGAGCCACATTAAGGATTTACCTACTCTCACAAAAGCTCCTTGACAATCAAAAAGTGTCTCATTCAAAATCTCTCTTAATCTCACATGCAAAACTTTTGAAATGATCTTATAGAAATTGGACACCAGACTTATAGGCCTAAAATCCCTTAATTTCAATAACTTATCTTTCTTTGGTATCAAGCAAACAAAGGTGCATTAACCACTCCATTCTGAAAATATTCATCAAAAACCTTCATTAAGTCATCTCTTACTCTATCCCAACAATCTTGAAACACAACCAAAGTAAAACTATCAGGTCCTGGAGCTTTATCCCTAGCACACTTCCTGAATTCAATTCCTCTTAGTTGTATTACTTAAGAAAATCTCCCAATTGTATATATATTTGGGAGCTAAAGTCAATTTTTTATCCTAAGGTACTTATTTTATTCAACTCCAAAAATTGGAGAAAAAAAAATTGACTAGTATATCAAACTCCTCAATATAGCTAACCACTTGACTTTTAATAGAACTGTAGTTAGAGTTCAGGCTTCCAATTACCTCAGTTACTGCACATGCATCATCACTACAGCACTTGGAAAAGAATAATGCAGCAGAAAATTTGACATAAAACTATCATATGGTGAGAAATCAATAGCTATGAAAAACTTTGAAGACAAATTCATCCCTGCCACGGAGGTGATGATTCCCCTTGAACATCACTAGGGATCAAGAAGGTCCAGATTTGGTAGGTCCGAGAGGCAGGGACTAGCTAGCTCTCTGCCATGGAGTCTTTAGGTGCTCCTCGGGGTTCCTTGGTGCCACACATGATCCACCTTCCCCAGCAGTGCGTTGTTTGTAGTTAAGGGGAGGAAGGGATAAATAATACAGGCCACGTGGCTCTCAGCAAGAAAAAGACACGTGTCCCTATCTTGTTGCCATCCCTCACATGTACAAACACGCCATGCAGGTGTCTCCATCTATCACTGCTGACTGCCCCCATGTGATCACTATACACAACAAGATACATATTCGATGTCAATTCTCTCTAGATAACTCTTTCTCAACACATTCTCCTCTCCTGCTATCCACCAATCGTCCTCCTCAGTCCATAAGGCATATATGAATTTCAGCACATGGGTGTAACCCATAAACTACCATCTATAGAGACTTAAACCAATGATCTTTTATGCTTATAATTTTAATAAAAGGACAAACAGTCAATCGAATAAAATGATTTAGATTCTATACTACCTATGAATGATATAACACATGCTTCAAACAAAATTGTCCTTTTTTGATCAGCAACAAAATTAGTTTTCATCGACAATAGAAAATCTGTACACAAGGGTCCCCCAATAAAGAGAAAGGTGAAAAGAAAATACAACACAAGTTACTCTAATACAAATTCAAATTCATCAGGTAACATAGCAACTAACTGTCAACTATGAAAGCAAGTCAGTTCTTCAAAAGAATTTCCATTTAGTCATTACTAATTCCTAAATATTCAAGGGCCAGAAGTTGGATAGCATTCCAAATATGTAACTGGAGTTCTAACTCTACAATGCACAAATAAATTTCTTCATCGCAACTTCCACATTCCACCCAGAGTCAAGAGTCAGCAATGCAGAAGTGAATAATAAACATAAATTCAGTCAAAACATGCCTGCCATAACAATACCCTTTTCACGTGAAAGAATGTCCACGTAGTTATATAAGTTGAAATTTGTCATAGCTATTCAACAGTGGATCAGTAGCTAAAACTTATTTTCTTCTTCGAGCATTCAGTCCCTCTCTATGCTCCATCAAAATATTCATGATCCCACATGCCCTTTGATAATTCAATTCTATCCGCGTTGATTATTCTAATTGGGTTCTGAAATTACTTTGCTGATAAATGCTTCACTTTTTTTTGTCATAAACCAATGAGTATTATTAATAATATGAAAAGAATATAAAAGAGGACAAAAAGTCCTATCCTAGCACAGAAAAAATGCAGAAAAGTAAATCAGAAACACAAATGGAGGTAAGATCATCTCACAGCTGTCAGCATACTTGTGTCCGAAAACCTCTTATAAAGAATAGTGGAGTGAGTTCCTTTGAATTCTTTTGATGTAGATGCCCACAAGGAAGCCCAAAAAGAAATTTTAATCTTTCATCTAATATTCTTCCAATTCTCTCCAAACAAACAACCCAAAACAATGACACTACCACGTTTTTATACAAGATTAAAGCACGAAAGTATCATGGAAAAAACTAAAGAACTAGAACTAAGGATCCTAGCAATGCTCAGGATTCAATCGGTCAAATTAGAACATGAACTGACACAAATAACTTAAGAACACAGTCATTACAAGCCCTCACAATACTATAAATGAGCAGATGAGCGCAGCAAACCCATGTGAAAAATTACAGCATTGCAAGAGGGTCAATCAGCCTCCCCCAAAATGAAAGAATACATTTCTGTGGACATAAATTGATAATATTTGCATATAATTACATTCACACCTGCTCAAGTGTCTCCCTTTGCCCATGTAACAAAGCAGCACTGATACAAAACAAAACAAGGGGAAAATTGTCAACATCAATAAGAGTTTAAACTTATATCCATAACTTTAACTTTCATCGAAACTGAGCTTAAGAAACTTACGGAATTATACAAGAAGCAAGGGATCCAGTCTGAGAGAGCTGCCACTGGCGATATCTTCGAATCTGTACATTAACTATATCCCCATCTGCAATAGACTCAGCAGCACGGGCAATCAAGCTCATCCTTTTCAACCCATCATCTTTGCCAGCCGAACTAGGCCTATAGTTGATGTAGTTCTCCTGCCATTGAATTTACAAAACAATATGCACATGCATACATTCATATATCAGAAGATTTATGTTAGGTGGCCTTAACAAAACTACATGTATTGACATAACTACTCTGCTGTTGAGTTCGCAAATCAGGCAATAAGAAATTTAAATCATTTTTTACATTAAAGCATAAATGATATACTGCTGGAACAAAGATAAGAACGCAGTTTCATACCCTGAGAAATGTTGTAGCAATCAGATTTAGCAAATCAAGAGAATAAGGATGACTAAAGGGAAGGCTAGCTCCAGTTACATTATAAAGGTTGACAATGCAGTTAGCTTCCAAGTTCACAAGAATTTTGATCAGACAGGCATGCTATTCTAACATTCAAACATCAGACATACCTGGATAAGAAGGGGGACTAGATCAGGATCACTCATGCTTAGGTCAATTCGCTCATCCATCCGCAACTTTCCCGCATTAAAGCCAAAGAGCCTGCATGAACAAACAATTAAATCAGCACAATAGACATAGCAGGATGACTGAAAAACTCCATGATCATAAGAACAAATTTTCGATAAAGAGATTTTATTGCATAAACATAACATGCTAAAATTCATCTGAATTTATTTTTTGTCGTTTTCCCCCTTTTTTTGTTTGCTGGTGTTTGAAGGGAAAGGGACTGACAACTCCTGGCAGATAAATCATAACAACCATCATTAACATTGCCTAATCCCAGGTCATAGACAAGTAAATTACAAATAGTTAGGTATGTAACTCTGTCATTAAATATTTGCATAATCAAACAATAACCTGTCATATGCTCATAGAGACTGTCTAAACAAAGAAAAGGTATTTGACATATGATCTTGAGTTCTATGCATTAGTGTGAGCACTTCACCATTGGCAAAATTCTTTATTACATATAGAATTTTTGGTATATTCATATCATCAAGCTCTCAGGTATTTGAATTCGCAGAATAAACTGAATCCAAAACATGCAAAGTGGATTTCATTCATTGAAGAGTTAAATGCCATGCGACATGAGCAGTTATATTTGGCATGAGTCAAGAAGAGACCAAGGAAGTTGACAGTTCCATTCAGCTACAGAGAGCTATCCTCCATCACTGAAGGCCATCAATGATTAATTGTCCAAATGCCGTAGTATCTCTTCAAAAAACTATAAATATAGTCTTTGGAGCGGAAGTTTCAACCCAAAATAAAAAAAAAAAGTCAATGTAGAAAGGCTTAAAATTGTTTAGGGGTTGGTCCAGTAAAGTTTTGGAAATCAAAAAGGAGAACTTTGGTGACTTTTAACTGTTTCGCGATCAGTACTTGTGAGGCAGTGAAGATCACTAAAGGGCTTGTTTATTCTCTCAGGTTGCTTGAGATGATGGATTGAAAGACAGAAAGGTTAAGCCTCGTCAAGTTGGATTTCAAGGATAGGAAAAGGGACTGACAGCTCTAGTTGAGCTTTGAAGGGCTAGGAAGTGTTAAGAATTAATAAGAAACAGAGAACATGAATCAACAAAGCACGACAAAGAATTCCTCACAAGGGTTAGTTAAAAACACACCAAAAAAAAGATATCATCACTCAATTCACCAAACAAAGCTATAACATCACTGCAAAAGCTAGGTGACCAAGTAGTCTTGAGGTCCAAGTGTGGATAGAAGACTTGAACTTTGCGCACAAATAAAAAGTCAATACAACAGAAGGCTCATGTAAAAGAAAAAAAAAGCTCAAGTCCACCTCTTAAAGGTCAATGATTCTCCAAGTACTCCTAAGCCCTAATGTTCTACCAATTGGCAGATAAGGCTGATATCACTTCGCGAACTATAAGTAGCCAATATGTGCTTTCTGAATAGCAGACTACAGATAAATGTCCCATGCTATAACCACCACAGCATATTCAAGAAAACAAGACAAACAAATGAAAATCCTGCAGGTTTTCATTTTCATAACGCAAGTACAGCGAGGAAAAAAGAAAAAGCAGGCAGTAGCTTTGCAGAGATGAAATTGTATTTGAAGATGGTCGTACTTGTCAACAGCTGTAAATGGTGAAATATCTTCATCTTTTGAACTGCTAAGAAGTCGTTGTCTAATGTCATCATATTTAATGACTGACATTGAGAGGCTCATATACTGCAATTGGTTCAAAGCCATGCGCATATCTCCATTAACCCTTTCTGCAAGTTCCTCGAGTGCAATCTGGGTACAAGAAGTATTAAAAGTCTCAGCAGATATATAAACATATACATAAAATGATAATGAGAATATATCGCAGCAGCTACCTCTGTTCCCAGGTATAAGCAGATTAATAAATGGGAAAAAACTGACGAAGGTAGAAACAAAAGAAACAGTGAGTGGCATATTTGCATTCTAATATATATCAGAACAAAAAAGTATAAAGAGACTAAACTGCATAAAGATCACTAAGCTTTAAAGTTAGAAAGCTTAACCCGCTAATATTTTCCAGCTCAAAATAAAGCCATTTTGTATATGTTGCATTTTGATATTCTGCACTATGCATAGGACCACTGCAAAACTTGTTTAAAAAAGATAGAAGACCAGAGAACTGTGTTGCTCAAGGTTATCATAGCGCACATTGCACAAGATCTAATGGCTTGAAATAGAAGTGCTGAAACGTATGTATATATAAACACGAATATTGATAAAGAAAAAGTGCCCCCTGAATTAAACATCAAAGAAGTTTCCTTCTTTTATCCAGGTATTATCCCACTGCTACATAATAGATAGGCTTCCTTCTGCTTGATGATCACCTCTAATCATTCTAGGGATAAACAATTACTCACAACCACTATGTTTTCAAAGACAGTTAATAAATACAAAGCATACCTTTTACATTAAAAGCTAGAAGAAAAGGAGGAAGAAAAGAAAATGGAGGAGTAAGGGAGCCCAATAACGACAGAGATAAAAACCACAAAATGACATAGTGAGGAAACTTGCTTCCCCTCCTGTAAAGTGCATACCTATTATAGTGGACCATGGACTACCATGTAAGGGCCAAAGTTTGCTAAAATAAGTGCCAATTAATATAATGGAAACTGAAAAGAAAATCAGATTACGTTGTTAATAAAAAAATCAAATTTTAACAAAGCTATTTGACAATCAAATAGAAAACGGAAACCACTAAACAATTTTGCAAAAACAAATGTTAGAAATTGCTTGTTATTCCAATGGTTCCCATTTGATGGTATATTTGTCGAGGAGCCACAAGTCCATCGAAAGTCTGTGTTTTTCAACTATAAATTATTATCCATCTCTTTGCTGCCATCTAAGAAGGATATTTCAAATGGACAGGAAGCCACTTAAAAACACGTATTAAACAACAAAGCCCAAGAGTTTTGCTTTGTTGACCGTTCCTATTTTCTTGCAATGTCCCCAGTCAAAATAAAGTGCTCAACTAAATACCTTACCACATACAAAATCCAACTTTACCTAAAAATACAAGAAAGTTTTAAATAGAGCATGCACCTCATTAACTTGAAGTCCTTCGGCATTTGCAACTTGGAATAATCTTTTAGCCATCTATCATCACCACATTTTATCTGTTAGCAACTCAAAGTTTTGCACCAGTCATCTCAAAATGCAAATCAAAACAAGAACAAGTGATATTAAATTAAGAATTGCAGTGTTAAGTACAGATACAGACACACACAAACACACACATATATATAGATATTTGTAAGATTCAGTGACAGATAGTTTCCAAAAATGATTGAGTACAAACTTCGTCCCAAGTTAGATTATTCGAAACGCTTCCTCATATAGCATGGAGAAAGAACAATTTTACCATTAAAGCATATACCAATTGATTCTGTGTGACAAAATAATACTCTCAGATGTACCCTTGAGGCCATGGCTAGTTTATGTAAAAATGAAAAAGAACAGGTACTTGTTATTTTTTGTGGAAAAAAGAGGGAGACACAGAAGTAGTATCCCCAGCAAACTGGTGACACTTGAGCTGCCCTTCCATACATACATTAAGGCATCCTTACAGTCTAAATCTAATCTCAATTTCCGAAAGATAAAAGATGGCCGTCAAGAAGACTAACACACAGAGGCATCCACATGTTGACACTAGAAAGTGACTACTTTAGAGCATCTACAGCCTCCAATAAAGAGAAAAAAACTGCTATGGCCAAAATACAAACATTGCACCCTAATATACAAGACTTCTTCCCTTGGAAGAGCAACTTTCCTTGATTCTTTCACAAACATCACACTATCAGTTATCATGGGAGATAAATGCATATTGTAACCTGCAGACCTTTTCTGTTTCAATTCCATCTCAGGCAGTCAAGCATATTTCAGGTTTAAAGCAGAAATTACACTTTTTTCTGAAAAGTAAATCCTAATTCAGAGATAATACACTAATACAGCAAAATTATTTCCAATTATGCTCTCGATTAAAGATATAGTGATATACAGCCATCAAGCTCATATTTCAGTCCTGGGCCTTCTAAATCATAAGAACTGGACTTTAAAACACATCACCGAAAGAGTTCCCAGATAATGGAGCCAGGCCATAAGCAATTGAAGTGAACACTTAAAAATAAAAGGTCTATACCAATATGAAGAAGACCAATAAGTAGAGAAATAAATGAAAAGACCTGCTGCTTTGTTGGTTTCCGGAAGCTAAGAAGTAAGCAGTAGTTCACAAGACTCTTTAGTTTTTGACTGTAGCGGTCATTACAAATGCAAATGATTGGAATTTTAGAGATCTTGATGCTGGCAATGAGATCAGCCACTCCCCCTCTATCTCCAGCAGACATGCCATCAACTTCATCCATAATCAGCACAGTCTTTGGATGCTTTGAACTTGAATTATAGTTAACAATTAAGCAGGATTCTTATAAGGTGCTTCTTGATGCATTTACAATAAAATAGAGTACTACTAACCGATCCATGTTAACGCTTAGAGCTTCATTACTAACAAGTTCCTTTATAGAATTTGCTGTACTTCCACCTATTCCTTTCTCGACTTTGGCATCAGCCTTTCCACGGTTGTCACTAGCATTTACCTAAACGAATTAAATAGGAAGTAACATATATAGCCAAGGAATAAAAAAGAACATGGACATAGTCCAGTCCAGTATTAATCAGGAAAATGTTCTACCTCGATTGCCTGAAAACCAAGCATCTGACAAACCAACTTGGCTGATGTAGTCTTCCCAATACCAGGTGTACCACTCAATAGAACAGCTTTCTTAGCAGCAGAATCATTCTGTTTTTTCCCCTTCCCAGTATTCATGAACTGCTCATCCCAATGTTCCAGCCAATCATGAAGCTGCTTCACCTGCACATTATTCCCACTAAGAAATGTTAGATGTCTTCAAATAGATATATGTACATAAAAAAAATTTTACGTTGAACATGAAGCTGAAAAAACAGCAACCAGTGCACACACACCAGTGACTGATTCCCTATCATGTCGTTTGGAATCTTTGGCCTGTATTTTTCCGTCCATTGCAAGAAAGCTTTTTCCACAAGTTGATATTTCCGCTTAGCAGGAGAGGCAACTGCAGTCAAACCTTTGGTGGCTACACTTTCTGCAGAATAGTTGTCCAGATGATCATTTAGAAGAAGCAAATTGCCCTAATAATTTCTCTCTCACAGACTAAACATGATCAAGTAAAATAGAATGTTAAGGGTTTTCTAAGACACAAATAGAAAAACGGAAAGAAGGAACAAAGTTTAAACAACGAAGGACCTACAAGAAATATTTAAGCAACACGAAAAATAGGTGATAGCCTTCATAGCTTTCAAAAATGGCAGAACAAGATTGTCTTCACAAGTTCAATTCAGTCAAATAAGCATTTGAAAAGATATCAGCATAGAAGTGATGTTACTACACAAAAACCAGAAGTCGCATTAACGGTTTGCTTAATTTTTCTTCAATAAAAACAGAATAACTAACACCTTTAGCTCAATATTAAGAAAGTAAATATTAACACTTTATATAAAAAAAAATTAAGCTTTAACCTCGCCACCCATAAAAGAAAATGGTTCTAAGATAAAGGATAAAGAATACTAAAATTTGTTCACTGTATTTCTTCAATTATCAAGTAGCATTCACTAAACTATTTCTTATAAAGGTGATGCATCCATAAAGCTAGTAATAAGTAAAGCACCATCTCATGCATAAAGATATCAACTGCAGTTTTTTTCATGCCAAGTTAGAATTAAAAAGAAGACATAGATCAAAACACATAACTAATAACAGACCCGAAAGCAGTTAAAAACATCAGGATCAATGCAGAAAAGGCAGAAGAGAGAGCTAATTTTCCATTGTCAAATATATAGAAAGAGCAAATTAAATGAAAGAAAATAGTGTGCTTTATGCATGTTTTTAAGTTTTTTTGAGCAAGGACTTGAGGATTTTATACTAAAGACAAATTCTGCTGGGCATGGGTACCACTTTGTCATCAGTATTATCCCTTTCAGTGCAAGCAGATTCTCAGATTTTGATGGAAGCCCATCATTTCTTAGTCTTGTCAACAGCCAACCTAAAAGCCACCTCTCATGACCCTTACCTTCCAATTCCATGTAGGCCTCTACTGAAAAGATTACGGTCCACAAAATTCTGGCAACCTAATTGTTAAATTCCAGCACCTAGCACCTCTAAGAACAAGCCCAAGAACATTCTATCATCAGCATCATGCCCACCAACCACACAAACACCACAACTACCCTTGCACTGTCCATGGTTCTACAATAACCACAAAACCTTGCTTTTCTTTCCTGTTTCTTATCAAAAATCTTACCTCCCCACAAACTTTTTATTTACTAACTAACAAACTCGATATTATCAGCCCCAAAAGAGTAATTTTACCAATACCCCATAAAACTGTGGAGTGATAGAGTGTAGGGGGCTGTTTCATACTTTTTTCTACATCACGACTCAAAGGAGAAGTTGATTCTCATGAATCTCAACTATCCCAGACATACACTCAACTCAACTATCCCAGACATATACAGTAACATAACTGAACTGCAATTACCTGTCATAAGCTTGTTTTTTATCATGCTTTATTGCTCATTTCAAAACCCTCTTCGGGCTAACCATGAATATACTGTTATAAATGTTTTGAACCGTCACCTTTTCTTGCAAATTTTGAAAAAATAAAAAAACAGAGAAACTGCGCAGCATGGAGTTCTATTAAGGGGTGACATGTTCCTCTGAACACTGCATAGACATTAAAATCCTCACACCTAACAAATGCCCCAAAAGTTCAGCAATTTCCAACATAATTTCATGGTGGACACATGGCACAATATAAGACATAAAATAAACTTTCCTACAAAAGCATGCACATAGGTGTCCTCACACCGAAGGAGGAGAGAACAAGTGGTACTAAAACATTCAAAAGAAATGGGGGAACAAACTGGGGTTTTGGTTAAAACCATAAAAAAATTGGGCCACTTTGGTCAAAAAGAAGGGCAATAAAATGAGGCATCAAATGGTAGGAACAGAGAACAAGAAAAAAAGAAAAAAAAGAAAAGAAAAGAAAGAGAAGCAACTAAAATGGATTGTAAAATATGCTTTCCTATTATAATTATAAATGTCCTCACCATCCACTTATAGGTTAAAAACTGTACATTTTCTAATTTTTACAATGTGACCATCATGTCATGTTTTAAGCCTTGTAACCTAGAAGAAATAAATAAAATGTAACCGTAAGCAACACAAAAACCCATGTTTGTTATAAACTATTAGAACTTGTGATACATATGAGCTTGTACTTCAGCATAGCAAAGGGTCCACATTACCACCAAGAACATGCTAGTCACCAACAACCTTATCAGTCCACAAAACAACACTCGAATAGAAACTGCATTACCTGCTTCATTGCCATATCATTAGAAATCAAATTCCAGATCATCTTCTCTGTATTTTTATTTGCTGAATTTAATTAGATGCCATCTTGACATTAAAAATTACCTCAGATAAAAGTTTCCGCAATTGCTGGGGACTCGATGCAACACTACACATTCAGACTGTCCTAGCAAATCATATATATAAATAAGCCTTGTAGACTAAACCAATCAAAAAACAAACACTTTTTAAAAATAAGAAACATCATCTACCCCTTGCTCTAGAGCCATAGCCAAACAAAAATAGTCGAAGGCCGAAAACCTATCAATATGCCAATATCAGAATGACAATGTAGTGCTCAGCAAACATTAAAACTTAAGTATCAACAGAAAGAAGGCAGTTTGACAGCATAAAATATTTTGACGAAAACTGACTGTACATCAACTAATGCATGGATTAGTTCGGAGCATACTCTTTGTTTCTAATCTTTGAGGACTTTTCTTTGGCAATGACACAACCATTTTGTCTGCAGGTTTTTTTGGTTCTTCTTTTGCAGCTGTTTTTGATGTGTTTGATGCACGAATCATATCTAATAGCCCATCCTCAGTAAGGAAGGTAGTACTACACAAAGAAATAGAAGGCATGAAAATTACTCAGAAAACCGGAAAGAATGAAAACAAGATATATTAATGCTAGCTAACAAACCCTAGTTCTTTGGCTTTAGAAGATTTCCGTCCCTCGATATCTTCATCGCACAAGAGAAAATTCTGCGAAGAAACAATGAAAATCTCATGCCAATACATTACCACAAACCTACGCAAAGAAAAGAAAGTTCCATGAAAAGACCGTTTTTTTGCTAACAGATCCAGTAACACGACCGCCATGTCGTTTAATCAAATCCTCAGCTTCTTCTCTTTCTAGACTGAAAGTATAAAAATAGTTCAAGATAAACTCAAGTTGATACAACCATATATTTAATTTTTTTCCCCAGATATAGGGAAACTAGGCAAAATAAGAAAGAAATTGACAGGCCTAGATTAAACTTGCAGGTTATCGTGGCACTAAAAAAATTGATCTCATCATTTATTTTGAGACGCAAGAAGCTACTTATGATACCAAGAAGATTTTGTCCTCCAAATCTACATACACAGTTCCAATAAAATAGTGAACGACCCTTTAAAATGAAAAGAATTACCTGTCAAGTGTTCCACTAATAACAAAAGTCAAACCAGCTAAACAATCAGGGGCACCTTCAGGAACTTCCTGAGACCAAAAGATGTCCACAATGTAAAGAAAAAGATATTTCTGATAAACTAATTCAATGATGAAAAATATTTCTAGACCTTCTCCCCTTTGTGCGGGGGATCTTTCCTTTCACCAAAATTCATGAATCCACCGCGTCCTCCACCACCCCTGCCTCTTCCACCAGCTGGGGCTGTTGAAGTACCTCTACCACCACGGCCACGTCCACTGGATTTGAGAGATTTTGTGTTTTTATCATCAACATCATCTCCATCACTTTCATCAATATCCATGCCTCCCCCACCAACTGGTGCCGCTAATGCACTTTTTCCACCACGACCTCTTCCACCAGATTTAAGATGAGATTTGGTATCTTTATAATCAACATCATCTTCATCACTTGTAACAACAAATTTCTTGGCAATGCCCCTACCCATACCACTCTTCAATTTCTTGCTGGGAGTAACATCACTTAACCCCTTACTTGAATTGGGCGAAACAAAGTCATCATCATCGTCGTCATCATTGACTCTACGAAATTTCTTCCCAAGCAGGGGTTTCACATCACCAGACAATTCTCCACTACCTTTTTGGGCCTTCCTTTTTGCTGAGAGTTCCTCCACTTTTTTCTCCTCTTTCGTATTTTGTTTATCAGTAGCAAAATATTTGCTAGTTTTCCTTCTGCCTGAACTTTCTTGGTCTGCATGCACCTGAGATACCCACAGAAACATTAAAATTTACTTATCAAATTAGTTAAGTTCCCTGAAAATATAGCAAAGCAAACCATGCAAAGTCACAAGGAATTTCTTTCTAGCTTGCATTTTCTCCGGTTGTCTGTGTCTCTATAACTAGTGTGCATGTTAAAGTAGCAACCAATGAGGACAAAACTTAGCAACATTGAACCCCGACTTTGAAGGCCTTCAGTCAATTTCGGTCCTGTCTATAAACTAAATTAGCCTGTAGATCTCTATGAACTAAATAAGTAGGTTTCCTCGTTGTTAGAATTTTCAAATGAAAATTCGTAAGTAGGTTTCTTCATTGTTAGAACCCAATACAAGTAAAATTTCGTAAACTTAAAATGACAAGAAGATGAAAATTGACCAAAATTGTCAGAATTTTTACTCAGCATTCGCAAGTTTAACCCAAAATGCAAATACAAAAGATTCAAATGTGAGATATAGGTTTTTTTCCTTAAGTAGGAACCTGTTATTTTAGTGAGCATTAGCATATTTAGTCTTTGCCATTTAAACAAAACAAAAACCTATGCCAAAAAACTACATCCAACTAAAAACAGCTTTCCAGAACACGACGAATCGAACAATATTACTCACGGGTTTCTCTGGCATCGAGATGGCTGGCTTCTCTGACGTCGTGGGTTTGACGGACTTTGATCCACTGCCATTGCCACTGCCCTTGTCATGTTGCTTCATGAACCATTTCCTAATATCTGACTGTTAATTCAAAAACAAACAAAATACCAAATTAACGTTTCTCTAACCAACCAAAACAAAAAAACCCATATAGCAAAAAACAAAAATCAACTTTCCGTGGAACTGAAAAGAGCAATTACAATGTGTAACTCACCAAAATTGCATTTGATACGAAAACTATACATTTAAGTTATCAAAACTCATTACTAACCGCAACTCACCATTTCTCAACTTTGCCCCAATTTGCAGGTTACAATGTTGGAATCCGTTCTTTGGGTTTTGTCTGTATAACACAATCAGTAATTCAGAAAATATATATATAAAAATATTCAAAAACCCATATTTATATTTTTGGGGTTAGGGTTTTTATTCAGGGTTTCGTATTCATGGATACCAATGTCAATAGAAAGAGTTACTTTCTTGCGGCCAAAAAGTAAATAAAAATTGATTGTGAAAAAAAAAAACATAAATATTTTTCACCTACTATTGTAGGATCTTTTTGAGAATGAAAAATTTCAGGTTTCAAACGAGAGAGAGAGAGAGAGAGGGAGGCGTTGCTACTTACGATTGTGTTAGTCGCACTTATATGAGGCGATAGACGAGAGGGGTTCTCTGCTGTCCTGTAGTCTGTCTAGAGGGGCTTTCAAGAACAGTCACACGCCAATTCATTGCAGTGGAAGGAAGGAGGAGTCCCACTAAAACTGTGGTTCTGCAAATTCAGCCTTTCGATCGTAATCACTTTTCAACTAAAATTTGTGGGCGTCTAATCAACGGCTTTGAAGTGATCAATTTTTTTTCCACAGCTCAGATCTTTTTTGTTTATTTATCGGTAAGTTACAGCTCACAATCACGAGTAAATGTTTGGTAAATGATTCGTGATTAATAATAATATATCATATCATATATAAAAATGTAAAATAAATGAAACTCATTATTATAGTTTTAAATCTCGGCTCAGACATAAATCCAAAAAAATGGCTGGGTCAATGTATCACTGGTTCAACTTTTAGGTCACTAATTTGATCGATAATATAATAAAAAATAAATATCAATAATAATAAATAAGCTAAAAAATTGTACTAATTATAAAAATAACATAGTTAATGTATATTACATCAAACAAAAAATCTAAAATCATTAAACATGTATGCAATGCATTCAATTTTCAATATAATTTGTAAATTTTAAGTAGAGAAAAATACATTTATGACAACAGTGGCTTAGGTTTATTACAGATTAGGTAACATATGAAGTCCAATTAAAATTACTTGTTAGCATGTAGATTAATCTAACATAATTAATCTGTCAACCAGCTTTCAAAATTTAACAAACATTTCTTATTATCTAACACAATCCAATAATGGTTCATTTCTCAATTGTTCAGTACATAACAAGTGTTTGAAATGTATGTTGGATCTAATTTTAAGCTCAATTATTGTTTATTTGACTCATGATCTTAAAACTGAAGGGCCACTAAAGTTTCTCAATTTTGGTGTTTGTAACTTGAAAATGTCAAAAAAACACTCGAAAGTGTAAGTGCGGTGACGGTTATATCAAAATGGGCCAAAAATCTAAAATTGAAAATGTGACAATCAATATGACAATATTCAAATTGATCCAAAATTTATACACAACAAATTTGAAACATCAGACAAGGGGAGAGAGAGAGAGAGAGAGGGATATGTACCTGTTGGAGTGTTAAGTAGAGGAAATGTGTAGACTCAATTACGTTTTTTCGCTTCGTCTGCCTTCGTATGTTCGTCGTTCCTACCTACCAAACTACCACGATCGTTGAGAGAAAGGGAGAGAAGAGGCTGGGTGGGAATTCTTCGTCAAGGAACCGAGGGTTCAAGAGAGTTCGGTTGTCTTTGTTTCAGAAGAGGCAAAGCAATTAGGGCAAAAATGCCCAAAGTTTAATTTTTATATCATTTTAAAGTACTTGTCCGGTTTGGCATAACCCGTCCGCTTTGAACGGTTCCATTAAAAATTGACCGGTTCAGTGGGTCATTAACAATTTCCATACTTAACCGATCTAATTAAGTAACCGGCCCCGTTTGGAGTCTGATTTGCCGGTTCACTGAATCAACTCATTGGATCGAGCCGGATTTTAAAAACACTGCTCATTATTATAAAATTGGTGATACCTCATATTTTTTATAACATTATATAATCGTTACATTAAATATTTTTCCTATGGTCAGAGTTTTTTAGCACGTACATGTCTCCTAGTCCCCTTGTCCCCCCTCCACAGTTTGAAAAAAATATATAATTTATAATCATTCTAATTTTTGTTTATTAACATTTTAATCTTTTAGTGCATAAATTGAGAATTTATAAAACTTTTAAGCTATAAAGTGTCATTCGCCTTTTAGTTTAGGATAAATCAGATAAATGATTCCTGAATTTTAGTATTTGTTACTAAAACTTGTATACTTCCTTAAATTTTTATACTTTTAATGGCATGTTTGGTTTGTGGAGTTAGATAAGATAGAATTTGAGTTTTTTTTATAGCTTACCCAACTCATTCCAATCCAGTCCAACCAAGTGGAATTGGAAAGAAAATGAATATATTCCTATTTAATTCCATGTTTGGCTAGCGTAGTTAAAATTTTGTGGGTCCCATGGATATCAAGCCTTTTTTTATTACAATTATTATACTAACATACCCCATAAAAAGAGTTCAATCATGCCGGGGCTTAAAAGATGAAGGGTAGAACGGTAACTGTGTGCTCAAATCCTGCCTAGCCATAATTTATCCCACCTGCCAGGTGGGTTCCAATAAACCCACGTGTACAGGCTAAAATATACTGTACATGTTGGCCGGGATATGGCCCAAATGGAATTATTCGTTTCTAAAAGTAGCCTCCCGAACATTGGACATGTGGGTCCCCAGATCAAATTGTCATTTCCAACAAGTCATATCCCATTTTATCCTGCTGTTTGGTAATGGGATGTGGGGTAAGTTTGAAAAAAAT